TGGTGACAGTCCTCTAACCCATGGCCACAGGTTCCCATCCTCTGCCATATGTCAGTGCATGTACTTGGCAGACTGTCCTGCTTAGGGAGTCAAGCTACCAAAAGCTTCTCAGATTTTTTTTGGCAGAATTTTCTTGTTACTGTGGGGGCTGCACTGGCTTTCTGCGGAATCAGGCAAGTGCCGGTGCCAACACAGCAGAAAGCAGCTGGAGCGGAACTGTGGTGATGTGCCATCTCAGCCAAATCCTGTACTCAGAACCCAGGGGCTGAGAAGCACGAGAGGACCACGACTCGTGTTACATGGGCTGGCCTGCTGAGCCCCTCATCCAGGCTGAGCAGATGCTGCACGGGCATGAGCCCCATCTGGTTTTTCTTCCCATGGTAGCCAGAGTGGAGAGGACATGGCTGACATGTCCTGAGCCTCACCCCAAAGGGAAGAGAGCATCTGCTTTTAGCAGCCATGGATTGTTATTAGGGTGCAGCCACAAGTGTCTCAATTAACTACAGGGCCAGCTAGAGAGGAAGGCGATGCAGCCTGATTGCTGCAGAGGAGAGACTTAGGTAAGGTGACAGGGATGTTGGGTACAAACTGGTTTGACCTGTTAGCCCTGGATTTATGTGTTTTCCATAAGGACTTCAGAGGCAGGCAGGATGTGTTGCCACAGAGTCTGAGCTCATAGTGGAGGGGCCAAGGAGGAGTAAAACTGGTAATCACAAAGATGAAGATGCAACACTGGGACACTGTTTGGGTTTGTAGAGCAAAGAGCAAAGAGCTTGCTGCATGTCCCTCGCTCCTTGCTGGCCATGTCAGCCAGCCCTTGGTCACCTCACTGGGATGCCAGCAGCACCCAGGAGCTCGTGCTTGGGTGGCCAGAGGTGACCCTTTGTGTTTGCCACAGGGTGAGTGCACTTGAGCACACCGTGAGTGGGGAGCAGCCAGTGTGCAGGGACTTGTGTGTCACGATACTGAACACAGTTCAAGGCTTTAATAAACAAACTGTTCCCCAGGCAGCTCTGCTCGGCATATTGCTCAGAAAACACAGGACCAGTATAAATTCACCCATTACATGTGGTTTTTTAACAGTGTTGCTGCCTGTGCCAAGGGCTATTCACTGTCCACACAGAACAGAGGCAAAGCATCTAGGAAGTCATGGGTAGCATTCATAGAAAGGGAAAACAATCCTGCAACCAGGTTTGTTATGATCCACATCTCCTGCAGTGCAGATCACGTTCGGCAGAACTTGATGGCCATCTAGTGGTGAAGCCCCAGTCGGTGTTACATTTTGCAGACTTCTTTGTATCAGAGAGACAATACTTGGCCATGTGTGAGTTGCAAAGACGTATGTTTTCACTTCTAGCTGGAAGTAATATGGCTGAATTTTAATAAATCACTCTAAACGCTCACATTGGTTTTATTCATTTAACCATATGAACCATACTGACTACAAGTGTTGCAGCGGGTCGTGGAGGCAGCCAGCAGTCCCCCAGGATTCCCATTAGCTGTAACAATTTCTACACTAACATAGAAATTACACTGGTTTTAGAAATAATGAGCTGCAAATAAATAAACATCAAGCTGACAGGTCAGAACCCAGTTTTCTTATTTGTTAATTTATCTTTCAAACTTCATGTTTCAGCAGTAATTTAATACATCCTGCTGAGCTGTTAAGTGGCATCAGTCCTACTGCAAAAGCCCACCTTGAGCCTTGAAGACTGCCTGAGATCATGGCCATTCGCAGAAGAATTGGCAGCTCCTCCTCAGGGTATCCTGGTAGCTCTTGGCTGATGACAGGTTTCCAAGTCTTCCCTCTGTGCAGTTGCTGGTGGGACACTTAAATTTGAAAGAGGCTGCTACTATATGGTTTGTTTGGGTTTTGGTTGGAGAAGAGGGACATTGTGGTCTTTTTAGTGCTCTTTTTCCTTTATTTATTTTATAGAATTTTAAACAAATGAAAAGTAAGTTAGTTGAGAAAATAAATGCCAGTGAATTCCCTGACACATTTCAAAGTCTTTGTCTACCATGGTACCATCAAACAGTAGTTTTGGGAACCCTGTCCTGACCAGAGACGCCTGACACAGCCCCTGTGGCCTTCAAAAGGCACCAAATGTGGTTTTGAGGACTTTCCTTCTGTCTGTGTGGTCAGTCAGGGCATTTTATAGAAATCGGTTGAGAAAGGAGAAGGTGTCCCTTTACTGTTTGCATGGCAAAGGGAAGGAACATCAGCAAATCATCTGGAACTTACTGTGAGAGGGGCTAACCTGAAGTAGCAGAAAAAAACACTTTGTGCTTTTTTTAGGGTCTTTGGTGACATCCCCATTTAAAGTCACACAGCTTTTGCAAGGCTAAAACCAAGCTGGTGGCGTGAGGTAGATTCTGGCTCCTTTACCACCATTGAACATGTCTCTACTGGGGGTCCCCCTGTGCCATAGCAGTTGAAGTGGCAGAGGAAAACCACCTTGAACATATGCTCTCACTTGCCATGTGGGTCTCCTCTGCTGGTTAGTGTGTCATTTACGCTGCAAAGGGAAGGCTTGCGGTGACATTTGCTGGTTCTAGTTGACAAGAGCTTTTCTCCTTGCTGTGCTGTGCAAGCGATGACTGTGAAGCTCTCAGGGGATGGTGACAATATTCATCACCTTCTGTGGCTTACTCAGTTATTTTCCCTCCTGTGGGATAAGTAGGGTGCTACTGTTTTTAGAAAGAGGGAGCAATCCAGTTAAAAAGCAGCAGCATTGATCGTGTGCCACCTTCATGGCACTGCTCTGTGCCATCCTCTTCTGTATAAATATCCGGGAAAGCACAGAGCAGTTCCCAGCAGTGAGATCACTTTCTCATATGTGGCAAATAGCTTTTTATGAGGTGCTGACTCTTCTCAAGGTTCAGTTTGTCTCGGGGCTGGAAATTGCAGGAGCATTTTAAGCTTGATCCTCCTCCTATTTAAATGAGCTGTACTATCCAGGATCTGAACACTCTGTTACAAAACAGGGTTTTAAGACAGCTCAGAAGTTGCTTGCAGCAAAAAGGATGCACAAATACTTACTTTTAAAGATCAGGATTTCCTAGTTTTGGGCACTGGATTTTGTATGTTCAGTATTGAGCTTTAACATTTGATTTACAAGCTTGCTTTTATTTCAGCTGGTGGGATGTTTAAAAAACAAACCTATTGGAGTAGTGAAACCATTCTCAGTGAATTGTCTAACCCAAGACTTTTATTTGTTCTGAGATTCAGAACAATTGCTTAAATGCAATTCCTAAGCCATTTCTGTGAGAGCTAGACATATCTGTACTCCAGTCATATAGTTAAAGTGCTAATGTTTCTTACTCTCTTGGGGACAATTTTTGCCAGCTGGTGTTACTACGGCTCTCTGTCCACTTCTGTCTCCATTTCAGGAATTCTCTGCACGTCTGTTTACATGCATCATATTATAGGCAAAAATAATTAATCTGGAGAATCTCTTGCCTGCAGGTGAAATATGAATATGTGTTTAGAGTACTGTTCAGGAAGAAAGTACCTTTTTTTCCCCCATTAGTGCTTCAAATTAGGATTGTACTGTGAAAATATTTAAACAAAAATAAAACTGCGTGATTTGGACTACCACTAATTTAAGGCTTAGAGATTTGTATGGAGAGAATTAGAACATCAGTGAAATTACGTGCTAATGGTGTGAGATGCTTTACACAAACATTTCACCCCATACGAGTAGTCCTCAGCAAGTTCTGGAAAGCTCCAGGATTTCAGTGTGTGCCGTAACAGCTACAGCTGTGCAGGAGCTCCTCTGACAGGAGCTTGCAGGTCGGTGTTAACAGAGGTGCTTCCCAGCAGATGCATCAACATCATTGCTCCTTTCAGATGCCCGCCTTAGTAGCTTCTCCAAAGGTTCATGCTTTTTGTTCAGATTGATCTTAAGAGACTAAAAGAGCAGGCTAATGAGTCTGTAGCCCATTTACCCTGATTGTCAATAAACCTGGGAAGCCCCAGAAACCTGATGAAGAGCAGAGTTGTTCCAGTACTTAACTAAACAGGCTGCTGTAGCTGTGGGTGATGGTGGTTGCTGTGCAATATAATCGTAGTGAGGTTGATAGGATGATCAGTTAATAATGATTCATGGCTGGGTGGTATGATTACTGACAGTCAATGAGGGTTTGAATCACGACCTTCCAACTTGATAATAATTTATCTAGCCAAGCCAAATGCATTGTGGTAGCAAGGCTTTTTTCAAGTAATAGGTCCAGCACACACTGTACTTAGAAACTCATGCAACATTACTTCAATGTTGTATTTTTAATTGCTTAAAATTAGGGTAACTGATAGGCTGTAGGACATTGCTGTAAATGGAGTATCTTCGATAAGCATTTATGTGTTTCTGTGGGGATTGTTTTTTGGCCTTGTTCTTAAACTTCATTTATCAGTGGTCTGAAAGAAAATAAATTTCATAGGCTTGCACGTGATAGATTGAGAACTGCTAAAAGAGAAAATGGAAAAATCACTGCTCCAGGGTGATCTGGATCTATTAGCAGTCTGTATTCAAGCAAACAACAGGTGTTTGGCCTAATGTGATGATCCATAGTTCAGATCTGGATACTGGAAACACTTTTTCATAAAAGGTTTCAGGCTTTTTATCTATTTAAACTTGTCAAAGAGAAGTTATGGAGGCTATAGATAAACTTGTTTAGAAAACAGTTCAGTGAGCTTGTGCCTGGTCACATGTCAAATAGAAAGAGAGCTCAGATAAAGTCAGGCTGCTTCATTGGAGCAGTATTTCAAGTATCATGGTGGGGTTTTTTGGGCAATAAGCGCTTCTACATCAAAACTTCAGTTATTTCATACTGCATAATATGCTCTAGTTCAAGCACTAATTGTGTCAAAATGTTGAAAGGGAAATAGATTATTCATTTTCTGTGTCACTTCTAGCACAGTCACTTCTGTTACAGCTGAATTTTTGGGGCTGGGCTATACACCATGCTCTTGCTTCATTTTTTGCTTCTGTTCTGTTTTTCAGTTCAATTTCACCGTTCAGTATTGAGAGCACAAGGCGTCAGAGGAGGTCTGAGTCTCCAGACTCCAGGAAGCGGCGCATCCATCGGTGTGACTTTGAGGGATGCAACAAAGTGTACACAAAAAGCTCCCACCTGAAGGCTCACCGGAGAACGCACACAGGTAAGATTTGCTGGCACTGTGGTTAAGACAAGCAGGTGTCTTTCTATCCAGTTTGGGGCATAATGAGCTTGTCATCCTACACTGATAGCCGAATGCCTGTACCTGAGTAACAGACAGGTCTGTGAGTGCATTGGCATTCTGGTGCAAATCAGGTGTCAGCACAGGACTGGTGCACCGACCAGACTCTTCTCAGATGAAACTCAACAGAGAGTGGCCTCTGGGGACATGCTTGCTGTGCTTCAACAAAGTGTGGTCATTGCTTGGCACCAACCAGAGCTAGTCCAGAGAAAACCCTCAAGAGCATATAGTGTGGTCATGAATCTTCAGCAACGTTTTTTTCACTCTACAGACCTGTTTCTTTTGAAACTGCTTGCTTTTACAGATGTAGCCTTTGGATGCCAGGAGCTCCTGAAATCTTTTCAGTTCAATTCAAGGAAAAACTCAAGTCCTCAATATGTCTTTCTGGAGGCATTCAGAGACACCTATCCCATACTGGAGAGGGAAGTCATCACTGTGTGAAAATCAGTCACACTAGATCCCTACAGCAGAGATGCAAGAGAGATGCTTAGAGGAGCTGGGCCCCATTCAGGGATGACCATACTTAACACTCAGTCAATACCTGGTGTCCTTATTAACTTTATGGGCTGTTACTAATCTGTATGACAGGCATGTAAGGGTAGCTGAAGCAGTGATGTGTAATAGTTCTAATTTTATTGTGGATAAACTCAGGAGCAGCAATTTGAAGTTATCAAGAGCAAGTCTAAAAGGGGATTGATTGGATAGCTGGAAAGGCAGTGAACAGAACACTCTAAGCCTCAGTGCTATTCCTTACTCTGATGCTGATTTGCTTAAATTAAATTTATTGATCTCTCTGCTCTTAATGGACTTCAGCATTCCTGTAACTTCTTGGAGGAAAGATGGTGTTTATCCAGGGTATAGGACAATGTTGTTCTTTGCTGAGAATCTGCTAGTGCTTTCTGTGATCTGATGTACTCTAAAGAGTATGACGTATTATTTTAGAAAATTAAGTGGAGGCCTCTCCATTTCAATTGAGTCTGGATCTCCATCACTATTTCTAGTATGTCTTTTGGCTCATAGGACTTTTGTTGAAAGGAGTTCTGAACCAGGCTCCATCCTAATATCCTCTACTAAAATAATTTCTGTAGGTTAAGAGTCCCTTCCTTAAACAACAGAAATGTTCTGGCGATCTGGAAATTTCATTACATTTCCTTCCAGGCAAATTTTCTTAGTTTCTTCATATCTTCCCGTTTAGATGACCCTTCTGCTCTCTCATTATTTGTCATGTCCTGTCTTAATTCTTTTTTCATCTTCCCTCTTCTTTCCCATCTTAAATGTGGTCTTTCATCCCTACTCTTCTAATACCTTTGATATACCCTTACCCTGTCACCATTTTCTGGCATTCTTGTTTTACCTCTTTTTCCCAGTCTAACCCTTCTGTCATTTTCCTTCTCCCTGCTGGATTTACATGTTGTTTCTTTTCTTGTCTGTATCACCCTTTGAGCATTACGCATCTGTAACAAATTCAAAGACAGAGAGCCCAGCAGAGAAGAGCAGTAGAGGGTTTGGTTTGAAACAAAAATACCATTTATCTGCTTACACCACAAGGAAGTCACTCTTTTCTATCCTGCCAGACTGGCAACCAGCCCAGGAGTACAAGCAATCATGTGAGTTACCAAACTAGATGTGGACAACCTCAGAAATGTCACACCCAAGGCAGCCCAGAAACAGAAGAGGCTCTTTTCTGCCGTGACATTTTAAAACACTGAGAATTACATTTGTCGGACATCTGTAATTCGTCAGTGATCTCATGGGGCAGACTGCTGCTTTCAGGTAATGCACCCAATTAGTGTTAGGCAGTCAATTCCACTGAATCTGAGGCTGTGCACGTAGGGTGCTCAGAAGTAGGCACTGAAGGCTTGAGAGGATGTAGGAAATCCCAAATTTAAGCATATGTAGCTCTCCACCAGCACAAAAAGGAGTTTGTCTACCTGCTGTAATAGTAGGATGCATATCCCCAGCTGTGGTTCCCTGGCAGCTGGGTGTCAAGGCTATGCTATCTGTCTGGGATCTCTGGGTAGTCAGAGAAGTGGGATTTGCACCTCTGGGGCGTGTTATTCCCTCTTCAGGTATAGCCAGAGATTGGCTTTCAAAGGTGCTTCTCTTTCACTGCTGAGTACAGAGGAAGCCCAGATACCTGCCAGGCTGTGAGTTGACTGAAATGGATTCCCACACCAAAATACAATTGCCTGAGCTGTTTTGTAGTCATGCTGGTAGTTGGTTTATTACTTCAGGGAAAAAGAAAAATAGCATCGAATCAAAAACCTTCATTAACTAGTCAGCTGATAACTGCTTTATAGTGACATTGCAGCAGGCATGATGAAAGAAGTGTAGTCTACAAAAAATGGCCAGTGCTCAATTTAGCCAGTGGATCCAGTTAGAAAACCTGTGTCATGCTGTTAAAATTAAATGTGCTTTACAGGACACTTCAGAGGTCTTGATAAGAAGTTGGTAAATTCAGACTTGCATGCAGCCTTGGCCATGAGCGTACTCATCTTGTACTTGGCCATGTACTAATCTCATCTTGCATTTTTTATCTTGGTCTTTACTTTTGCTTCAGGCAAAATAAGTTAATTATTCACGTATGACCCACAGTAATTAGTGCAGTTTTGGATAAGTATAAATGAAGTATGACAGCTATGCACGCAAGAGTGAGCAAGTTTCAGTAGGAAACTTTCTCAGAAAAGATCACAGAAACTCAGCATTGCATAATCTATACCTTATTTTTTTTAGGCAGGCTGATCTTGCTGACAGTTGTTTACCTAAGCAACATGTGCTTGAGAACTTTTTTTTTTTTTCGATGATCTTAAAGATCTTTTCCAAACTACATTGTTTTGTGTGCATAGCCACTGAAACATTCACAGTAGTTTAGACTCAGGAGGAAAAACAATGTGGTGTTATGATAGGATGAACAGATTTGTTGGTTGAAAGGTATACTTCTTTTCATCCTAATGGAGAGCAGAAACAGAGTATTATGGATGGTAACAACTGAATTTAATTCTCTTGGAGTAACTCCTAAGTTTTTTAAGTATGCTGTCATCTAGCTCCTCAATACTTGCCACCAGTGTCCTCAAAACTTGGCGTGCTGGTGTGGGCATGGAGTCCACTGGGGGGCGGACTTGAATTATGTATTGTCTCTCTGACTGGGAAAGCTGCAAGTGAAACCTCTGATAGATAGAGCATTGCATAAAGCACAAGCACTGGTATTAAATTTCTCTTTCTAGTATCACCTGCTTGGTCTTATTTTGCCAGATCATCAAATAAAGCTATCAGGAGGTATCAGGTGTGATGGAGAGCCTTCAGGGCTCACAGGCAATCTCGCAGCTCAGGTTTGTCAACTCTTTCTGCAAGGAGAAACTGTGAGAAATTGGCTCACTGGACCTGCATTGAGCTAGTTTCTGCTTCAATGAACTTAAAGAAAATTACTAATATGTGAATTACAAAAGAATAATCTTCAAAAATGGGAAAACCAGCAGTCGTGGGTTATATTCCCAGTTTGTGTTCATCTGTCTTGCAGTTGGCACAGGTGCTGGTGCTGGCCCCAGGAATGGGGAGAGAGTAGATGCTGTTTCCAAGGGCTGTGCACCTGTGCAGCCCTGGTGGGACCCACCTTCTTCACTGTGGTGCTTTTACTTTGAAGTTGGAGAAGAAAACAAGTCAGAATGCTATTTTATGATCTGTAGTGGCTATTTCAGTCCTTTTAAGCAGTACTAAAGTTGCCATTGACACTTCCAATAGGACATCTGAGTCCTGTAGACTGAGTAATTAATACTGGTTCTTTCCACTGTATGAACATCTAAACATCTGAAGTTGCTCATGGTTAAATCCAGTTCTAGTTCATCATGGCTGCCCCCTTAGCACATGGAGAAGCCTAAGGAGTTTAAAACATTGTATGAATCATCCTGAAGAAGTGAAAAAAGAAAGAATATGCCTGCTTTGAGGTAGTGTCTGAAACACAAGAGATTTGTTCCCTGTCTCTCGCCTCCACAGGATTTTAATTTACTGTAGTAGTAATCAGCATTCTGTATTTCTGTGCAACCTTATTTCAGTTGTTAGTTAAAAATTTCTGGTAGAATGTGACAGTGTGGCTTTCTGAGGTCAACAGCTGCAAAAGCTTGGGACTTTCCAGGCAGCATGAAGTGGGAATGGATGTAATCCATGGGTGTAGGCACCATATATCCACAGGCATGGCTTTGCTCCTGCCTGGGAGGAGTGGAGAAGGCCAAGGTCTGTAACCAGAGCGCTTCTGTGGGACTCAGATACTGGGCTACAACTGCTGCTCTTTGTCGTGCCCCAGTTGGCACTGGGTCTGAGGCACCCTTCTCAGTGTGCTGCTGCAGTAGAGGGGCTGCTCTACCAGGCTCTTGCAGAGCCAGGCTGAATATAGCCCCCAGGCCATGTGAATTGTTTTAGTGTTTGGTGCTTTGTCCTTGATCAACGCCTATATCATTCCTTAGAGATGAGAGCAAATACCTTTGCCACAGACGTAATGAAGCCTATTTGTCAGTGTCAAGGGGTCTTCAGCAGTTTTACATGGAGAAAGTAAACATCTCAGAAGTACAGATTTGTACCTGAGAAAATGACAGCATTCCCTCCCCAAGATGTTCCTTTGTAGCTGTGTTGAAACACCACCCTAGAAGAGAGAGGACTAGTGAGTACATGGGTGTTTTATTTAGTCTGTGCTTTTTCAAACATTGCATTCCTCTCACTCGCTGTTGCTCCATATATTATTTTAATATGAAAGGGCCCCTGTCATTAGTCTTTGTTCACATTTTCCTTTGAGCGCTTTCACAGTGGACTTAAAAAGTCAGAGGCACCAAAAAAGCTATTTTTGTTCTGTAGGTTTTAAAACACCATTCATTACCTGTTGTTTTTTTAAGGTCTGTTTAATGCCTTTTGCTAACTATAAGTTCCAGAGATAT